ACAAGAAATGTAACATTAAACACTTTTTGGCTGCTCAGTTACGCAGCCTTTGCTATTGCCTTGTGTTGTAACAGAGCTCACTCGCTGGTGCTCTGGCAGCTTCTGCATGGAGCCAATGCAGCATGTAGACTCACAATTCAAGGACGTGAACGTGATGATAAAATACACCTGACTTCTAGTCACTTACTCTTTTCCCTGTGGAAAGAAGCACCACTGTTTACATATGCTTCTCTGTGTGTAGGCCATTTCCAGGTCACTCAGAAGTAGACGCTGAGACAATTCTAAAGAAGGTTTGATGCGAAGGCCAGGCACCTAGCTTCTTCCAGGGTGGTCAGATGGAATTGGGACCCAATGTGTAGCTCTGATTTGGAAGTGCAGTTGCAGCTTATACCGTCCACAAACTGGAGAAAGTTCTAATCCCTCTGAAACCATGTGAGAAAAATTTGCCTGGATTAAATATCAGGAATTTTGTTTCCAATTAGTTCCACAAATCCCATGGATATAGCCTAGAGTAAAAATGAAAAGAAACTAGAAATATGCACATGTGAAAAAAATCCATAACTTAATGAACAAAAAAGCCTTCCTGGTTTCTGAAAAGAATTTTTTCCTACCCAAACAATGAAAGAAATACCAGCTGTTCTTACTGAGTGAGGAAGAGTGCTTGCCCTCCTCTGGTTCCAGAGGGCACCGGCCACCAAGGGACTCTGCTCCTGCTCTGGGGCCCTGAGAAGAACATCAGGCTGAGAAGCTTCAGCAAATTGATCTAGGTTTTCTAAGGCTTCCATTCACTAGCTTGCTCATTCATTCATCCAACTATGTATCAGTTCTCTTTCTGTACATGGCGATAGATGTCCTCAAATTGCCACTAGCACTACAAATAGGAGGGAAAGACTTAAGAAGCTTGATAGCAGGACCAGCAGATGGCGTAATGGCTATGTCGCTGGACTTCCATGTAGTCAACCACAGTTCAAATCCTGGACCATCCACAGCGGCCTGTCTCCTCAGAACCTATAATTACTCTGTTTAGCTCGGTGCATTCAATAACAATCGCCTGTTGTTTGGGGACCACACTGCTTGGTGTATACACAAAGAAGCACCTGTGTTAAACAATGCCCAGTTTCATGGAGTGGCAGCTCTTCCTACACTGCAAAAGATGCCCAATCAGCACTTCACCACCCCGATGTCCCAGGGTGGGAGGACCCCAATTAACCAGCAACACAGACGTTCAAGCATGCTTAGAAACTACCTCAAGAGGTAGCGATTTTAATTCTCTTGACATTTTAGCTCATGGTTCTAAAATATAAGTTTTAGAAAATAGAGTGAGCGGGCTAGACTTGGCACCATGGTAATGCAATGCTCTCTCTGCCAGGCTAACCCAAAAGGGGAAAAAGTTCTTTCTCTGCCTCTAGAGGTATATCCAAATATGGCAGGTGGATCCTCACTTGCCCATGATCCAGGGGTGGCTTTTGCTGAGGGTAAATGGCAGTGTGAGGGCCCTGTTGGGGATGCTATCTCTTTGTCTCTCTCTCTCTCTCATGGAAGAAATAAAAGAAGGCAATAGAGAGAGTTGAGGATAGTACCTGTCTCAAAAGATAGGATAACTCATTCATCAAAAAGTTATAGCTGTATTTTGAAATCCTTCACCAAACATCAGCTTCCCAAATTTTCCATCATTTGTGATTCACCCTGAGATATGGGCTACAGTGGATTAGGGAATGCAGTGCATTCTCTGATGTCTGATGAAGTCTCCATGGAGCTAGATTTCACATGGAGAAATCCCTCTATATGCATCTTGATAGAGCAAAGTGGTTGGAGGTGAAAAGAAATCATACTGAAACACAAGCGTTTATGTCCATCCACTCCCATAAAAGCACTCGAAGCAGCAACCAGGGTTCTCTCATTGTGCTACAAACTGGGATAGACATTTGAGACGAGAAGACTTCGAATGCACTCTGCAACCAGGGGCTGGCACGCATCCATTATTGGTTGAATCTCACTTCTCGGCTAGTCTCTGACGCTACGTGTGAAACAGTCAGTATGCCTGAGTTGGAGTTGTAGATCGTCGTACGTCAATGCACACTTGTTTGTTTTCGAAACCAACAAGAAATGTAACATTAAACACTTTTTGGCTGCTCAGTTACGCAGCCTTTGCTATTGCCTTGTGTTGTAACAGAGCTCACTCGCTGGTGCTCTGGCAGCTTCTGCATGGAGCCAATGCAGCATGTAGACTCACAATTCAAGGACGTGAACGTGATGATAAAATACACCTGACTTCTAGTCACTTACTCTTTTCCCTGTGGAAAGAAGCACCACTGTTTACATATGCTTCTCTGTGTGTAGGCCATTTCCAGGTCGCTCAGAAGTAGACGCTGAGACAATTCTAAAGAAGGTTTGATGCGAAGGCCAGGCACCTAGCTTCTTCCAGGGTGGTCAGATGGAATTGGGACCCAATGTGTAGCTCTGATTTGGAAGTGCAGTTGCAGCTTATACCGTCCACAAACTGGAGAAAGTTCTAATCCCTCTGAAACCATGTGAGAAAAATTTGCCTGGATTAAATATCAGGAATTTTGTTTCCAATTAGTTCCACAAATCCCATGGATATAGCCTAGAGTAAAAATGAAAAGAAACTAGAAATATGCACATGTGAAAAAAATCCATAACTTAATGAACAAAAAAGCCTTCCTGGTTTCTGAAAAGAATTTTTTCCTACCCAAACAATGAAAGAAATACCAGCTGTTCTTACTGAGTGAGGAAGAGTGCTTGCCCTCCTCTGGTTCCAGAGGGCACCGGCCACCAAGGGACTCTGCTCCTGCTCTGGGGCCCTGAGAAGAACATCAGGCTGAGAAGCTTCAGCAAATTGATCTAGGTTTTCTAAGGCTTCCATTCACTAGCTTGCTCATTCATTCATCCAACTATGTATCAGTTCTCTTTCTGTACATGGCGATAGATGTCCTCAAATTGCCACTAGCACTACAAATAGGAGGGAAAGACTTAAGAAGCTTGATAGCAGGACCAGCAGATGGCGTAATGGCTATGTCGCTGGACTTCCATGTAGTCAACCACAGTTCAAATCCTGGACCCAGTGGCTTAAACTCATGCCCAGCATGTGTGCATGCGTGGCCAAGATCTTGAGAGGAGAATGGAGGAGAAGGGATCGTGGTGTGGCCATCTACCCTGGGGGGTGATTTCTTGCTTTCTGTGTCTCTGTCTCTCTCTGTCTTTCTGGTGAGCACACATGCCCTATAGCAAAAACCTCTCCAAAAATTTTTTTAAAAATTTTTAATTAAAAAAAAAAGCGGACCAGCAGGTGGCGTGGTGGTTAAGGCGCCGGACACTCCCACATGACGGACTGTGGTTCGAATATCGGACCTGCTGGCTTGCTTGCTTTCTCACTTTCCCTCTCTCTCTCTCTCTCTGTATCTCTCTCTGGCCAAATTAAAATAAATTAATGAATAAATAAAATTAAAGTAAGTAATTATTTGAAAAAAAAATAAAAAGCTTGCTAGCACTTCCTTGAATTGAAGTTGGGGAAAGATAGTGCCTATAGATAGCTGAAGAGCAAAAGAAAAGAAAACAAAACAAAACAAAAAACCTGAAAGCGGAAACAGGAATACATTTCAATTTCCCCTAACACTCTTGCTGCCATAAAAATCTGACCTATAAGGCTGATGCCCTAGTTTTTTCTTTGTTCCTTTATTCCCTATAACAGAGAGAGAGAGAGAGAGACAGAGAGAGAGAGAGATAGAGAGAGAGGCACTCTCAACGGTCCCATGCCACAATCCCCCTCCAGTCTCTTCCAGCCAACCAGCATCATGGGAACACACATGCATTCCTGGCATAAACAAATCAACCCAGGGACAGGACCCAGGCTTTCGCATGGCTTCCAGCACCAGAGCACTGTGCTCCTGTAGCACCAATGTGAGACCATGGACTCTGGGAGAGTGCAGAGGCGGGATTCTGACAGCTCTCTAAGGCGAATGTTTCCTGTGGAGATTCCAGTTTGAGATCATTTGACTGAAGGCAGGCTTCTGATGACAACCTTCTTCTGGGGTACCAACCTCGTTGCACCCTTTGATTTGCCTTCGATTCAGTATTGACCATGAACATTTAAATCCTGAGCAAAAGGGCCAGCAGATAGCATAGTGCTAGGCTCCCATGTGGCTTACTGCAGTTTGAGTCCTGCCCTGAGAGCTTGTAAATCACACCGGGTGTGAATGTGTGCATGCCCAAAATCCAGAGAGGTAAATGAAGGAGAAGGGATTGTGGCATGGCCATCCCTCTGGGGAGTGATTTGTCACTTTCCCTCTCTCTGTCTCTCTTCGGCAAGTGCATGTGTCCTATGGCAAAAACCTAAAAGGAATAAAATAAATAAATCCTATGGGAAGAACCAGCTGGGTGGTATGGTGGTTAAGGCAGCTGGATCCCATATGTCCAAGTGAGTGATTCAAGTCCCAGAACTGGTAGCTTTGAAAATGTATTGGGGGGACCAGCAGTTAGTGTAATGGCTATGTTGCTGGGCTCCCACGTAGTCAACCGCGGTCCGCGTCCTGGACCTGGTGGCTTAAAACTCATGCCAGGCACATGTGCGTGCGTGCCCAAGATCCCCAGAGGAGAATGGAGAAGGGATTGTGGCGTGGCCATCCCCCCTGGGGGGTGATTTCTCGCTTTCTGCCTCTCTGTCTCTGTCTGTCTGACGAACTCATGTGCCCTATAGTGAAAACCTCTCAAAAAAAAAAAAAAGAATAAAAAAGAAAATGTATTGGGCATGTGTGTGTGCATACCCAAAATCTGAAGAGGAGAATGGAAGAGAAGGGATTTCAGTGTGGCCATTCCCCTGGGGGCGATTTCTCACTTCCCATCTCTTTTTCTCTTTCTCTGTATCTCTGGTGAGTGTGAGCACCCTATAGCAAAAACTGGGGGAAAAAAATCCTATGGGAAAAGACCACACAGACGCCATGTTATACAATCGGCACTTGTTTGTTTTATTATTACGCTTTATACAGCTTTTGTCTAATCAGCTAAAGTCCTCTGCTTGGGGAGCAGACACCTCAGTAGTTGGAGGTCATGGTCTGAGAGAGTCTTTCTTCTGAGTTTCCATTCTGTGTTCCCCAGAACTTACAGAAACTGCAGGGAGGCCTGGTGTGCACCTAGCACAGTGCTGCAGCTACGTGGGTGGTTCAGGATGGGGGGGCGGAGGTGGGACTTGGGTGGTATGTTAGTTTTCTAAGGCCATTGTTAACAAATTACCACAGAGCAGGAGGCTTAAGACCAAAAGAACTTTATTGTCTCATAGTTTTGGAATCTATAAATCCAAAATCAAGGTCTTAGTGGGTTGCTCCTCTGTGGGATCCGAGGAGAACCTGTTCCATGCTGCTCTCCCGGTTTCTGGTGGCCACTGGCAGTCCCTAGTGTCCTCGGCCTGCAGTTGCACCAGTCTGATCCATATCTCTGTAGTCACATGGCTTCTTCCCTCTGAGTGGATGTCTCTAGGTCTTTTCTAAGACACCAGTCATGTTGGCTTAAAGGCCCATGCTACACCACTGATATCTCATCTTAACTAGTTAACCTACAAAGACCCTATTTCCAAATAAGGTCACATTCACAGATACCAGGGAGTAGGATTTAAGCATATTGTATTGGAGGACATAATCCAGCCTATAACAAGTGACAAGGCAGATTGTCATAAAGGATCGCTATATACAAAAAATGAAATATAACTTTAGTATCATCTGCACATAACATCAGGGAACTTGGGAAAGACCTGGATGAGACAGCGAGAGAGGAGAAGCAGGAAACCCTAGAAGAAGTCCTTGGGACGGTCCAGTGTAGGGGTATGGACTGGAAAAGTGACCCTAGCATGACGGGGGGAAGGAGAGGCTCATCTGGCCACTCGCTTGCCAGCTTTGTGGAGAAGACACTCTGAACAGAGTCAGTGTCAATGGTTTGGGCTAACTGCTGGCTCATCTCACTTCCAACAGGCAAGTCTGTACGTCCTCAGTTTCACAAGAATGCTGGGACACACTGAATTTACAGTCACGTTTCTGAGACAGTACCTTAAAGGATGCGGAAAAATAATAGGAATATGTTCAAGTAACGGGGAGGAATTTGACCCAACAAGTAATTCTAAGGTCCTGCAAAACTCAGAGGTAGGAAGGGGTTTCAGAGTTTAGACAACACTGACTTGCAAAGAGGTGGTTTTCGGCTTCTCGAAGGTATCCTGGGGTGTCAGAAGGCATGAGAAGAGACAGGCCCTGGTCTCACTGTGGAATCCCTCCATGGGGACCTGACAGGGCAGTTACCCCGGCTGCTCTCAGCTTCGAAGTGGCCTTCGCTCTCGCATCAGGACAGAGCAATGGTATCCACTAGCTCACCACGGAGTCGGGCTGCAGCTGGAGACACGAGGATCGGGGTCGGTCTCTACCACGTCTGAGGCAGAAGGGCCAGGAGAACGAGTGTTTCATCGTCAAGGACGCCATCATGGTCTCTTACTCTCTGTATTGCATTCTACTAGTACATGCTTCTCATTAATTTGCGTGGATGGAAACCACTTAAGAAAGACATTTTTTAAATGTTAAGAGAATGACCCAAGAAGAGAAAATATCTAGAACTTGGTGCCGGCTGTCACCATAGCATCTTGCTGGGATTCACCTGGTAGGAATGAGAGTGAGATTAACACCACTATTTGGGCAGGGGAACCAAACAAGGCCAAACACAAATTTAAACACTGGGGCACCTTCTCCTTTCAAGGAATTGTTTCCAATAGATCCATCTTGCTCTCCCTTTGCCCTTTCCTCACCAGAGATGGGAACTTCTATTTTTATTTGTCTCTCATGATAAAGCTTATCACTTGTTTTTAATTGTGGTAAATTTGACTCAGGTAATAGAATTCTGCCGACTGCTGACTTGTGAGAAAAGTAAGACAGCTGTTTTCAGGTGTTAAAAAGAGCTTGGATAGACAGTTAACATAATCTACTGTGAACAATTTTTTCCCCACTGTGGTAGATAAGTATGTTTGGCTTGAGTTGTTAAACCTTTGAATGTGCAGATATAGATATTGATATCCAACTACCTGCAGAGAACTAATTGTCCACAGATCTTGACAGCTCTCCTTCTATGTGAACACTTTTTCCCTCAGTCAATCACTTCTAAAAGGAAAAGTAAATCTTATTTTTTTCCACTGCGCCAAGAGGAACTGCTGTATATTCTGTTGATAAGATGCAGACAGACCCTGTCCACGAATGCTCCTGTCGCCCAAGCAAGGAGTTAACATGCACACTCACCACTGAGCACACCGAGAGCCAGTAGCCGTGAGATCCAGAAGTTGAGTACTTCCCCCTGCAGACAGAGTATCAGGCGGGCCTGTCAGGAGGTTGTGAGAGGCAAGAAATGCTGACTAGTTTCTTTAAATTTTAAAAATGCCCAACAAGAGGGCAAAACAGGAAAAAATAAACACCAGTTTAAGCCAAAATGGGAATGATATTCATCTGATCCAAGATACAACACACACTGATGGGAGCAGTGGGGGAGAACCACTTACCCACTTAACAGCATCTGCAACACATATGGGGTGCTTGCAATGTGCCTTCTCTAGAGAGCTTCACGTTTACCATTTAACAATACTGAGTAAGGACCAGCAGTTAGTGTAATGGCTATGTCGCTGGACTCCCACGTAGTCAGCTGCAGTTCACGTCCTGGACCCGGTGACTTAAAACTCACGCCGGGCACGTGTGCGTGCATGCCCAAAATCCTGAGAGGAGAGTGGAGGAGAAGGGATTGCAGCATGGCCATCCCCCTGAGGGGTGATTTCTCACTTTCTGTCTCTCTGTCCCTCTCTGTCTGTCTGGCGAGCGCATGTGCCCTACAGCAAAAACTTCTTAAAAAAAATACTGAGTAAGGATCAACTCCATAGATCAATGGTAATGAGTTACTCAGGAGATGCTGGACCCACATGGATGACTGTAGTTCAGATCTCTAGCCCGGTCAGCCTGAGCCCATGAGTGAGCACCCGTCTATTGGACTGGAAGACTGGAGGAAGGGAATTGCAGCATGACAAGACCTTGTGGAGGGTGCTCTAATCTCTCTCCATACATATATATTTCTCTCTCTCTCATGCTCAAGCAGGTGCTCTATCACAAAGAAAAATAAATAAATTAGCAAAACATATAAGCAGTAAATAAATACATAAGTAAAAACAAGTACTATAATAAAGTAATGAAGTATATAAAAAGTAAAGGTAGTAATAAATAGAACACAGAAATAAAAATGAATAAATATTAGTTATTTAATTTATTTTTTAAAGAATTATTTATTCAATTTCATGTATTCATTCATTTAATTTGACCAGAGAAAAACACACAGAGAGAGAAAGTGAGAAAGCAAGCCAACAGGTCTGGGACTTGAACCATGGTCGGCCATGTGGGAGTGTCCAGCGCCTTAACCACCACACCACCTCCTGGCCCCAGTTATTTAAATTTTAAACATAACTAATAACATTGAATTTGTAGGCTACATCCTCTCTCACTAGCCCTAATTACTCTTTTAAAAGTATAAAACAAACTAATCAATTTACTCCTTGCTTTGCTAAACCCTTTTCTCCTTCTTCTTCTTTTATTTTTCTTCTTTTTCTCCTTCTCCTTCTTCTTCTCCTCTTTTATTTACATTTAATCACTGTACATCTTTCCAACACTAAAAAATGAATTTTTTCAGCATGAAGACTTTGTGTATTAGTCCAGTCAAAGGTATTACCATACACATTATCAACAGATAATTTTCATTTTTGTGCCTGTTAAATGTTTAGATTTTTTTTCCCCTTGATTTCCTTTCTCTGGCCCCCCATAGCTTACCTTCCTCCCACACTGTTTCTTGTATCCACAGTTACTCTCTATGCTTTAATACCGTCCAGTCTTTCAGCTTCTGCCACAGAGTGCAGACATTTGGTATATATTAAGTGTGGACATACAGTGCCTCTTTTCATATTCTGGTTTGCTTTGCATAGCAATAAATCTTCTATGTTCATCCACTTTCTATCAAATGCCAGGGTCGTATCATTTTTTATGGCTGAATAGTATTCCATAGTATATAGGTGCCACATTTTTTCAATCCAGTCAGTCATCTGTTCTTGGACATTTGGGATGAGTCCATGTCTTAGCAATTATGAATACTGCTGCAATAAACACGGATGTGCGAGTATTTTTCTTACTGAGTAGATACCCAAGAGTGGAATTGCTGGATCATATGATAGTTTTATTTGTTGATTATTAAGGAACCTCCAAAATTTACATTCCTACCAACAGTGTAGCAGAGTTCTCGTTTCACCACAAACACACAAACCCCATTAGTACTTTTTTTTTTTTTTTAATCTTAGTCATTCCAACTGGGATTAGGTGGTATCTCATTCTGGTTTTGCTTTGCATCTCCTTTATGATGAGAGATACTGAACATTTTTCCACATGGCTTTTGAGCTGTTCGTGTGTCTTTTTTAGAGAGTTGTCTGTTGAGCCCATTTGCCCATCTTTTAATTGGATTGTTTAGGTTTTTGTGAGTAAACTGCTTGAGTTCCCCGTATATTCTGGATCTCAGTCCCTTATCTGAGGCATAGTGTGCAAATGTATTCTCCCATTCCAAGGGCTGTCTCTTTGCTCTAATAATTATTTCTTTTGCTATGCAGAAGCTTTTAAAACTGATATAAGGCGGGATCAGCAGTTGACATATTGGCTATGTCACTGGACTCTCATGTAGTCGACCATGGTTCGAGTTCTGGACCTGGTGGCTTAAACTCATGCCGGGCACGTGTGTGTGCTTGCCTAAGATCCCAAGAGGAGAATGGAGGAGAAGGGATTGTGACGTGGCCATCCCCTGTGGGGATGATTTCTTGCTTTCTGTATCTCCATCTCTCTTTCTTTGTGGCAAGTACATGCATCCTATAGCAAAACCCTCTCAAAAAATAAATAAATAAAAATAAGGCCAACTTTCTATTCATGAAAACTCAGGAAATAGAAAAGTGAATTTTGGGCCTCTTATGTAAGAAGTTTTGCCTACTCCAATGTCTCTAAAAGTTTCCTGTGTTTTCCATCAGTAGTTTCAAAGTTTGAGGTTTTATGTTTAGATATTTTATAGTTTGTGGTTTTATGTTTAGGTCTTTGATCTATTTTGAGCTGATTTTTGTTTGTGGTGAACAAAAATCTATTATTGCCTTTTCTAATTCTCTGAAGAATATCTCTGGTAATTTGATTGGGGTTTTATTAAATTTGTAAATTTATTTGGGTAGAATTGACATTTTGATTATATTAATTCTTCCAATCCAGAAGCATTGGGATGTCCATTCCCTCTTTTATAACATTTTCAATTTCTTTTTTTAGTTTTTCATAGTTTTCCTTATAGAGGTCTTCGACTTCTTTGATTAGTTTTATTCCTAGGTATATATATATTTTTCTGGCTTCTGTAAATGGGATTGCTTTCTTCAATTCTACCTCAGTCTAACCGTTTTCTTAAACACACATGCACACACACACACAAACACACACCCCACTGGTATGCTGGTATGTATATCTGGTGGGTAGCATTCTATTTGATGTAACAGATGCTATTATACTCTACATATTATTTTATACTCATCATTTCACCCCAAAAACTACATCTTGGTGAATTTTCTATGTCAATATATATTGATCTACTGTTTGCAAATATCCTATTGTGTGGCTCTAAACAGTTTATTCAACTATTCTCTTACTAAAGATAATTAGGCTGTTCTAAATTTTTTCTATGACAGAATGCTGAAAGTATCAACATATATTTGCAGTGTCTTCCAGAGATGAGAATCCATTTCCTCTCATGCTTTCCAATACTTGATACTATCATGAGCATGTGTAAGAACAAAGGAGACTACTTCCTCCATCCTGGGTGATTTAATCATCCACTTACTGAAACAAAAGAAGAGAAAACATTTCTCATGGCCCACAGTCACCCCTTGTTTCAATGACCATTGGTAAGGATGTTCTATGTGACGTTTCACAGAAAGAAGACCCGGAATGGGCATGTTTTTAGAGAATGTTGTCTCATGTTAATTTTGATATAAGTATTCACAGGAAAGAAGAAAACTGATTGCAGTTTCACTGGCCTGCTGCAGCTGAAGGAAAGTTAAAACCACTTGGTGAGGTACTTCTCTTTCAGGTTATTTTACCTACTACAAATATAAGGGGAATATAGGTTATTTTAAGGTTCTTTCCCATGAGTTCATAATCACAGGCTAGGCCAAGTGCCACCCTCTAAGGACAGAGCAAGATAAAGGAGACACGGGCTGTCCCTTCAGGAAGTCCACAGCCAGAATCTATTGCCACCCGATATAAACCACAGACACCGATATCTTACTGAGGCAAAAACGTCCACAGTTAAGTATTGAGAGCAACTGTAATTATTAAATATCCAACGATTTTTCTAAGGTCGTTGACAACCGCTTCACCCTCAAACATGTCCATTCCTGGTTGGGGGCTTCGTGTTGCTGGTAAACCTGGATTCCATGTCAACTGCTGTTTCAGAGCGCTGTGTGAGTAAGGGTTCCCTCAATCCTGAGAATAATGTGATAATTGAAAACAGAGAGGCTATATGTACTTGTGACCCAGAGGAAAACAGATGTATGCACAGAGTGACCGATGACCCTAACTCACCAGCCTCTTTTAAACTTTAAACTAGCCTAGAGTATGATAACCACTTTTTCAACTTTGGAAATCAAAAGAAAACCAACTCCCCCTTGGTGTAAGGAGAAATTACAGGCCTGACTTTATAAGCAAGCATATTATTCAAATTGGTGCATAAGTACTGCCTCAATTAAATTCACAGGTGGTAAAATCCGGATGTGCTGTAGACAGAACAGATTATCTATAGATGTTTTGCCAAAAATAGAATACAACATCTTCCACAGATGCTCTTCCATTAATTCTTATTTTTTCTAGAGATTAATTGTTTCACCCAGTGGACATTCGTTATTCTTCTCCCCCCAACACAGATAAGGACATTTGAGGGGTGAGCAGTTCCCTGGGATATTCAGGGGCAGCTGGTGAATGAATAAGAGGACACAGTTGTCTGCCTAAAGTGGACGTACCCAGCCAGCATGTCAGAGCCACCATTGTCTCCCCTGCCCACCAGGAGCTCATTGTGGATGGATGGGCCTTCCTCCAGGGTCCATAATAAACCCTGGGCAGGTGGAGGTAAAATAAGCCCTGGATGGAACACACTGCTGCCAGACTCAGAGCGCAGAATCTGCCAACTGGGATGATACCCATCCTAAATTGGAATTGCCGGTTATGGTGGTGCACCCTCGCCAAAGGAGACTGGCTACA